AACTGAAGATAAGGAGACTCTCTCATGCTATGAAAATAATTTGTCAAAGCCAAAATTGGTTGCAATACAAAGACTAGCAGCCAAGTCTATTAACTCTAGTTTCTTTGTTTTACAAAACATAACACAACTTAGTAACTGTAGTGTGTGTGTGTTTGTGTGTGTGTGTGTATCTGTGTGTGTGTTCTGGTTCTTGCCCTTGCCAGTAACTACCACTGTGATTCATAGCAAGTTGTGAGTTTCTTTGCATCTCACTTCTCTTATTTATCAAATGAGGATGTTGGATTTGATGACCTATATGTAGGATTTATGGAATTTTAACGCTAGAAGAGATTTAGAGATCATATAATCCTACTCCCTCAATTTGCAGATAAGGAAAACTGACCTCTTCTAGCTCCAAAATAAATTCTTAGAGGAACATATGGCTTCCTAACAGAACCAGCTCTTCTGAATACTGAGGCCACCCCATAATTTCATCCCTGCCACTTATCAAACGTGGGATCATTATCTGCCTCATGTCATTCCTGTAGACTTCTCTTTTCTGATCTGTAACATTGCCGGGGTTGGTCTAAGGATACTTTCAGATTGAAAACTTTGAGGATTGAGAAAGGCATCTTTGGAAACTGACATCTTTGCTACCCCTGGGACATGACTCAGAACATAATGAAGCATAATATAGCTCTAGAAAGAAATGGGTGTCGAGAGCAAGTTAAGACCATCCTTCCAGAGCATTCTGATTTATTGTTGGGTGGATTTACTCAATGATTACCTGGATTTTACAATTCAGTGATGGGTGTCTTCTTTAAAATAAGAATAGCCAAACATCCTTTAGGGTTGGCCCAAAGATATGGAAGAAGGAACCAATTAAGAGAGTGAAGTTTTAGAGTTAATTTCCAACAGATTTGGATGCTACAGATCAGAAAATCATCACTAGATCTTTCTACCTTAATGAGTATCACATTATAATGAGTCTCAGTGTTTTCCAATTGAGCATCAGAAGTTTCACAATCTATTTAATATATTGCATTCCAAGTATCTGTTTACTCGGTTGTTACAAATTGCCAATGGGACAGAAACTGTCTGTCACTTCCAGAGCAATTAGTGTGTGAAAACTTATCAAAAGAAATCTGTCAAGTTTGAGTAAGTATAAATATTGCATGGAAGTCCCTAAGGAAATCAAACTGAGTGGGATACAGTTTCGCTAGTTGCAGCACACGAGAATTTATTTTGTTTTATTTACTTGGCTTTATTTTTCAGAATGTTGATAGCATTTCGTGTAACCCAGTGGATTAATGCTTTGCTCTGATAAAAATAGATTTTAGTTCTTAGGGGAAATCTGAATTGTCTGTTGAATGACATAACAATACTAGCTCTTTGCTTTCAAATGTCAAGAGCTCTTACTGCTTTCTAGGCGGAGCATTGGAATAGGAACTTCGACTCGAGGGCTCTGCCACTTTTTGATGCTCCAACCTTACCCTTTCTAGTCCTCAGGATCTTCATAGCTTTAAAACAGGGAAATAGGACAAGTAATCTATTGGGTACTTTTCCGCTTTACTGCGCATTTTGCCTGCTCTGATATCTGCATTGTTAGTGCATTATAACCCTCCTGCTCCTTCTTGATTGCACTGCACACATAAACAATAAAAATATAATATTCCAGGTGGTGCCACTGGCTGGGAAGAAAATGAAGTTAATGTCTTGGCTAGAGATTTCCCCTTGTTTTGGGAGCTCAGCATTTATTAATAGCTCAACGTGCTCTCACCTGTACACCAGCCAGGACTTTTCGGCCGCACCTTCCGAAAGCAACAGCGTTTACCAGCGTCAGGTGTTGAACTGATGTTAGGATCCTTAGCACCTTCTGTCCGAGGCCGTTCTTGGCAACTGTGGTTGGTACCCTTTTTTGCTGCATGAAAGATGGTTCTAGTGTTAAATTGTTGCAACAATTTCAGAAACTTATTACAACTTTAATTCAACGTTTTGCTGGTTTCTGTTGTTCTATTTAATGGTGCTTAATGGTTTTCCAAAAAAACTGAAGTAACAGAGTCAATGATCATTATATTATACTTACCATTTTTTGAGTTGAAGTAATAACATCAGTTCATGGTTTCCCAAACTAGGTTTTGTGAGCTACTAATAGATGTCTCAGAAAAGCTGTGTGTGTATGAGTGGGAGTAGATCATGTTGGTGGTAATTCCATGATCAAGTAAGTTTGGATGCTTTAACACTCTCTAATGAATTTCAAGGACATTAGCATGACAAAAATCTCTTGTCATCCTTGAAGGACAAAATTTAAAAATCTGTTTAATCCAGTGCTTCTCAAAGTTATTTGATTATGTAACCCTTTGAATTTCGGGGAGGTAGGGTGACAAAGCAAGGAATTAATAATCAAGGACCACAGTTTAGGAAATGCTGTGGGGTACACTAAAAGTTCTTTGCATCTCCCACTAAAGCACTAAGTTATTTAAGTCACAAAAGCAGTGAAACCAAAAGAATTAACTTATTTTCAATTAGATCAAACAGCATGTTAATTGAATATATATTTTTTTAAATGTTTACTTTTATAAAAACTAACCCGGTAAAGTGCAACACCAATAATAACTGACATCTGTGCAGCCCTTTAGAGAATTCAGATGGTTTTACATGAGCAGACCCTCACCACATGCCTTTATCATGTTTAAAATCATTCTCATTTATTATGAATTAAGCAGTCGAAAGTAAGAGTTTCAATGGCTTCCCTTACATAACATAGGTGTGAACTTAAAGTCTTCTTGTGTTCTGTCTTTTTTCCCCCTCCATTAGAAACATAACAAAGTAGATGCATTTTTTCTAATATCCACTTTGTACTTGCTAAATGAGCCTCCTAACACAGAATTCAGAGAGCCTTGCAGCCACTAACCACCACCACCAGTTCTGAAAAATATCTTCAGGGGGAAAAAATATAGTTCCCTGTATTTGATTACAACTCTCCTTGGAGAAATGTGGGTTGATTAATATTGTGCTGGCAAATTACTTTCTAACGTCTACCTTGTGACTTTGGAAATGCTAATTTATACTTAAAACTCTCTAATTAGGGGATACGCAGTGTTCTCCTCACTGTGCATAGGAGAAAACTGAGGTGCTGAACAGATTGCTAGGTTTTCCTGAAACACACATATCAAGTTGAGCAAGCAAGGAGCACATTGCCTGCTGTGCTGATTCTTAAAATCTCCTGTTTTTATGGTAAGCCTACCATACAGGATGGTACTTCTTCAGGACCTACTATATGGGTTTTTCCTTCCCCACGTTTTGGTTTCTTGAGGAAGTAACTGGCTTGTTACTGGAAAGCACTTCTTATTTACACTGAGTATCCTCTTGACATCAGCATGGGGCTACTTATAATTACACGCACATTTGTAAATAAAATGATTAGCTATTCTCATCTAAACATAATTATATCTCTCTAAAATAATGCGTGTGGCAATGTTGTAATCCAGTGATAAAGGGAAAGCAATCTGCATGGCCCCTCCTTTGTATGTAAATAGTGGATTATTGAGGCAGAATGTGTTTCCTGTTTCACATTCAGTTGTTGAGGTCAAGTACAATTGGGACTCATTGAAGGATTAAACAACAAAAATGCCTTTTACAGTAATTAGTGTTCTCTATTCAAAGCTGAAGTGACCTTCCTGCCATTTTCCAAGGACACTTTATGCATTTAGTCTTTAGCCCACGATCATATTAAAGAGTGACACATAATAGCTCAGCCAACTTGTTCTGACACCAGAGGCTCCTTTTGCATCTAGTCTCTCCCTCACCCTCCCAGCCACAAAGTAATTTTTGAAGATAAAATAGGACATGTTGGCTAATCAGTGCCAGCAACTAGTGTATCATCCTTTCTCCACCTTTGGACAAATCTGGAGATCACTCTTCAAAGAGAGGAACCCAGGAGTGCCTGGAGCTGAGGAAGTTTGATTTCCTTGGAGCACAATAGTTCAATGCAGCAAATCACTTAAACTCACGGTCTTCTGGGATTTTCCTCTGAAATGGAAAGCATGGGCTCAAGTGTTCATTCATTCACAAAACATTTACCTAACTTTTATGAAAAATTAGAACTTTCAAAGGAACATTTTCTGGTACAGCTGCCTATTACATTCGTGCCACTGCCATTCTGGAATGAATATATATTTGTGAGAACGTTGCTCTTCGATCACTATTTCATGTTCATTCCCTCATGGATATAATAATTTTTTCAGCTGATTTGTAAAGGTACGGATGTACATTTGTGGGATCAATCAACTAGTTAGTCAATGTGTATTTGATGACTGTTTGCTACCGCATTAAACCACCATGTCACTAACATGATGGAAAACTGTTCAACCTTACAAATGAGAAGAGAGAGTAAGTATTTGAGTTGATACTCGGAGACACGGGGAGAAGACTGTATTGAGACTCAGGAATTATTCTGTCTTTAACTAGGGCAAGAGTTTGAGTTATTTACTCTACTCCTCTGAGCCAAAGTTTCTCAGTTAAGGGAAAACTATCAAATGTATTTGGAAACCACAAAGTGCTAGGCACGTATGCGGTATTATGATACACTACAATGATTATTATCTATAAAGTGAAATAAATTATCTCAACAGTTTCCACAGTGGCTTTTGGCATTTCTATATCAAGACTATAGATTCCCTGGGTCTGTAATTTGGGCGTTAGCTCAGTATTCGTTGCATATAGTGCTTGGGACATGCTTAGCAAACTATAAATGCATGGTCCCTTGACTTAAAGAGGTTGGGACTCTCTCTTAGTCAACTGTCAGTGTATCTTCTAGTTCTCCAGAAATAAAACCTTGTTGACTGACAGTAGGAAGGCTGGTAAAATGTTTTAGGGGATTGCGATTACTTCCTATTTATATTTAGACAGCTGAAAATGCATAATTGGGCAACAGTGTGAATTTTAACCTAACCATGTCTTTCATGAATACAGTAGAGTTCCAGTGCCAAAAGACATATGGAGATTCCTTTTCCTTTCAGAGCTGAGCTATGCGTGGATCTTCAACGAATACCCTTCCTATCAGGATAATCGCCGCTTCGTTTCTCAAGAGACTGGGAATCTGTATATTGCCAAAGTAGAAAAATCAGACGTTGGGAACTATACCTGTGTGGTTACCAACACCGTGACAAACCACAAGGTGCTGGGACCACCGACACCACTAATACTGAGAAATGATGGTGAGTTTCCTAAGTGATTTTGTTAATTCTGGGTTTTGAGGGGTTTTTTTTGCGATCACAGGTTGAATGTGGAAAGGTGTTATGTTAATGGCCCACAGAGCTTGATTTTCTAAATTAAATTTAAGAAAAATGTGATGCTTTCTACTTTTGTCACCCATATTTTCTTCACTTGTGTAGGCAATAAGCCCATTAATCCATTTTGGAAAAACTAATTAGAAATCTAATTGCTAATCTCAACAGGAATGGAATGTGGATTAGTGTGAATATAAATAACAAAGGAATCTCCTTCTTGTTTCTCTCCCCGTCAAATTGTATACACAGGCAGAATGAAGTGATAGGTTGAACAATTAGCTCATTAATCATTTCTGTGTAGTTTAGTATTCAGTGTCCAGAAAGAAGGTTTTAATTGTCGAAATAACCTCTGGATGTATAATACTGAAGGCATAGTTCCCGAGCACAGTGAAACAGACAAAACAAGGCTCATTTGGGACAGAAGTTTTAATTCCCCATGCTATTGTGAGACTATCTCAAGAAAACATATGAATTTCACCTTAACTACCTAAATGACTTAAGAACACATGGTAAATCACCATGTGCTTTTTAAAGGTAGTCTTGTATGCCAAACTCAAGGAGTTCCATGTTTTTTCACACCATGGGTTTTTATCTATGCCATTCCCTCTAACTGAAATGCTCTTCCTCCCCTTAGTCCCAGCCTCTCACTTGGATAACTGATACTGGTCCTTCCCATTTCATCAAAGATACACCTTGTCCAGGAAGCCATCTCTGCCTGCCCATCCCACCACCACCTTGTCAGGCTGCATCAGGTGCCTTCTCTATAATGACCACTACTGTCCCCCCAAAACTCTTTATTCCGTATCATAATTGTCAGTGTACATCACGGTCTCCCTTACTAAAAGCACATGTCGTACCTTATTCACTGCCGTCTCTCCGGCACCTAGCATAGTACCTGGTACGTAGAAGATGCTCAATAAACACTTGTTGACTAAACAAAAACAAAGACATAATTAAGCCCTTCAGGAAGGGCCGATATAATGATTTAAGCAGTCATAGTTGACATGTTTGGGTTTCTATTCTTTTTAAATCCCTTCCCCATGTAGTACACATTTAACCTTCCATGATGAACGGCAATGACTACATACAGGTGAGGAAAGTGTCGTCCAAACCGCAAACATTTGTCAGGCACTTTGTATGTGCCTAGTCACCATGCTCAGCACTTTACATGAATTATCAAAATAATGAGAATTCAAGTCTCAAGCAATTCCATGATGGGTATCCTCCTTTACAGATGGGGAAACTAGGGCTCAAACATGTTAACTAATGGATTTCAAAACCACATGGTCAGTTAGAAAATGAGTCCGGGACTCCCAACCAGCACTCATGTTTTATTGACTCCAAAGCCTGATCTCTTAAACCCTTACTATGTTCCCTTTCATTATACTATACCACTTCTTACCTGAATTTATAAGAAAAAATCGGCAAATTCAAGAAAGGAACTCAACTTTCTGCTCCTTGAGTTTGTTACTCTTTCCTTCTGTATTGTCAATGAACTTTGCACTCAAGTGGGGCTCTGAACTTGAACCTTCCAGAATAGGGTATTTACAGACAAACCAGCTCTGCAGAGAGGATCTGAGCATCCTTGTGGCATAGACCACACTGTGGAATTTTTGAGAAAATAATTTAGATTTTAATCATTTATTTATTTCCCTTTTAACGTATATCTATTTGGAACTTGCTGTGTGACTGCCACCATTCTGGGTGCCGGTGAAGAAGAGCAATAAGGCCTTTGTCTCATGGCACTTATATTTTCTTGGGGGTACAGACATAAGTAAACAAACATAAACAAGAACAAAAGTCAAACTACTTTAGATTGTAATAAGTACCACTATGATAAAATAGTAGCTGTGTGGGGTGGGTGTCTACTTTAGAAAGGGTTGTCATGGAAAGCCTTTCTAAGGAGGTGACATACGAGGTGAGACTTGACTTCTTATAAGAAGTCAGTCCTCTGAAGAGCAGAGGGAGGAGCACTCCAGGCTGAACTAGCATCACATGCAAAGGCCCTGAGGCCTAATAAAAAAAACACTTGGCATGTTCAGGGAACAAAAAGAATGTGAGCAGATCGGAGCATAGCGAGCAGGATGGAAGGCACTTTGAATTGAGGTTAGAAGGAAGTCAGGGACCAGACCATGGAGGCCACAGAAGACAGAATCCATATAGAGGATTATATGCAAGAGAGTGACTTATGTTTTAAAAGAGGCGGCTCAGCTGCTATGTAGAAAATGGACCTTCCAAAAGCAGGAATGGAAACTGGAAGTCCAATCAGAATACTAGTGCAGTTATTCAGTTTGGAAATGATGGTGGCTTGGACCAGAGAGTGACAGCAGAAGGAGAGAGAGATGGATTCAGGATATATAGTATGCAGGCAAAGCGGCCAGGACTTGCTGATGTGTTGGCTTTGGGAGGTGGTGGAAGAGAAACTCGAGGATGACACATAGGTTTCTGGCATAGCGACTGAGTGCATGAGAATGGCATTTACTGAAATGCTTTTACTGAACAAGTTTGCAAGGGAAAAATCAAAATTCCATTTTAGACATTATTTGTAAAGCCAACTACATACCTTGTCCCTTGGCAGCAGGAAGAATTGTTTTGTGTTTTTTTGTTGTTGTTGTTGTTGTTGATCTCTCTGTTATAATATTAATCTGTTGTAGTCACATTTACTTGTCAGCTTGCCTTCCCCGCCCTGCTCACATTACGATCAAGCAAAGAGCGTAGTTTTCATCCGACTTTGTATTAGGCCCCAGCAAAGTGCTTGCCACGTGGCAAATGTTGAATTAATATGTCGGATTAAATGGCATTCCATTGAATAAAACTGAAAACTCTTTCCAGTTTAAAGAGAAAATAAGCAAGGTACCAGTTCTGTCAGAAGCTATCAGGGCTATGTCTCCTGACCTACACATGAAGAAACCTTCGAAAGATTTGCTCCAGTGGCATTATGTTATATAAGAAATCATGAAAAAACATACAGCCTCTCTGGCCTCTACCCAAAATGCACTTACGCCAAAATGTCTGCTCAGTGGCATCATCTGTTCTGGTGTGTCAAAGTCGCAGATGTAACGCCATATTGACTTTGACGTCCTCTGACATTGCTGGGGACAGACATCACACAGAACTACTGCTTCAAAAAGAAAGAACAAAAATTCAGACTCACAAGAACTCCGGAATCATGGTGCACACTTCACGTTGGCAGCAACTCTGCCTTTTGTTTGGCTTTTAGATTTATCTCGACTTGTCTGGTATACCTGCATAGAGACGACAGATGTTTTGTATTAGAATGTTTTATCACAAAACTAGCATGCAAAAGGTCTCATTCTTCAGCCACCAATGCCCATTCATTCTTCATTTCCATGAGAGTTGCATGGTGAAGATTCATTATGTCCTTCCCATTTAAGACTGGAGTACGTAAAACAGATACTGGAACTATATACTACTAAGCACAAAAAGATTATTTAATTAGGTCTGTTCTGGAGCTGAAAGAAAAGGGGAAATATAAATCAAGAAAAGATTGTGAAATAAGGATGACATTCTTGTCAAAATCTAAAGATGTGGAAACAACCCAAGTGCCCATCAATATATGGGTGGATTAATAAAATGTGATATATGTATGCCATGGAGTTCTACTCAGGCACAAAAAACAATGGTGATCTAGCACCTCTTGTATTATCCTGGATAGAGCTGGAGCCCATTTAACAGCAGTTCAGAAAAGGCTGTTTGGGACTCTAGATTTACACGTTTACTCTGTTTCTTTCCCTTTATGATTTTTGAAAACTTTATATCGGGAATTCTTCCAAATAACTGCATGTTATTTTGTAGTATTCACCTCAAGGAAGTATAAAATTGAGAGATGTTAGAGAAATGTGGGATAATTTTATATCAGAACTTATAGTTACTTATCTAAATATTTTAAGATCTAAAATAAAAGATACATAACCTGTTATATGTTGGTACAATGAAAGGAAGAGGTTTTCAGTGGGAAATATACGTCATCCTTATTATTACCATAGTTACTAAAGTATCCCATTGATCAATCTTAGACCAATTGCTGGTTATTAATAAGGATGAGTTAGCTGTCTTATGTGCTTCCCTCACAGATTTCAAAGAATTGTCCCTAAATTTCTATAATACAAAGACAACAGACCACCCATATAGCATAACTACTAGGAAAATAATAGATAATTTCTTCTACTTTTAGGTATCATCCTTGACTCCCTTTAAAATGGTGAAAGATGCAGAGAATTAGAAGCTATTAGGGCAGTCTTGAGGAAAATGAGATAATGTCTGTTATGACATGTATGTGCATTACACACAGGTGCATAACTGAGCATGGAAAATCGTTTTTTAGACTTTGCCTTTTTACTATGTTTTCCTTGAGACTGGCTGGAAATGGTTTTGGTAGTTCTTTATTTTGCTTATCAGAAGAACCAAGACAATTGTTGAACATTATACAGACCGTGTCTGTCTGATGGGTCCATGCTTTTACACACTGATAGTTAAATATTTTCACATATTATTCCTAATTCGAACTCTACCTATAAGAGATGCTACAGAACAGAGAACAACAAAATTTTCCTATCTCAGAGTTTCAAATTCTCTATCCCTGTGTTCTCTTTCCCTTTCTCTCCTCCCCTACCATGTTTACAAACATTGTTAAGCATGTATATGTTGGGGGTGTGTACATATATACACACTAGCTATATTGTCTTTGGAGGATAAAATGTAAACTTCACTTTTCTAAATGTTTCTTATTCTAAATATATTTAAAATGTATATTTCTGTTCTCAAATAGAACTGAAATAAGTGACCATGTTTTCCTAAGTCTTCACTCATTCTCCCAAGCCTAATTTTATTTAGCCATGAAAACATTGAGTAAGGTCAGCACTGAAGTAGTTAATCTTCTTGCCTTAAATCGAGCTTTAACCCAGTGG